GAGAAGCAGCAAAGGGGAGAAAGAACGAAGACTGTTCTGCTCACGTACCAGTTCCCCAAGGACTGTTTTGTTTTTTGAGACAGCGTGCTGCTCTGTAATTCAACCTGGCCTTAAACTACTATGTAGCCCACGCTGGCCTTGAACTCACTTGGATCTTCCTGCCTCAGCCACCAGAGTGCTGGGATTTTTGCCACAATACCATGCCCCATGAGGAATGTAATCATTATGTCCTGCACACACATACTAATAAAAATATATACAAATATGGTTTATTACACAAATAAAAATATTGTGAGAAAATAAAGCATGTACAGAAGCACCCACCTGCCTCAAATTCTTGAGGGCTAAGTTTAATCTCACCACCTCCTGATCTATCCACCTCCATCTGCCCTGGGATTTCTGTTCTCATGTTGCGCTGCCCCCCGCTCCTTTTCTCCTACCCCTTTGTTGTTCCAGGCGGCCCCACCCGTGGCCACTAACTAGGTCCTGGCAGCACTGCCTGCATCAATCTGGCCTTGAAGACATACGTGGCAGTCGCTGAACAAACCATGAAGCCACCAAGGTTGGGGTGCAGAATGAATGGGCTCATAGACTATCATTGTTCATCCGCTTCTAAGAAATTCCTGCTGAGTTGGAATGACTGGGTCAAGAATACGAACTCTGGGCCAAGGCCCTGGGTTCCTCCCTCAATAAGCAAACAAAAGCTAGGGTATAGGTGTGATGGGAAATACCTATCATCCCAGCACTCCGTGAAGCTGAGGTAGGAGGGTTGCAAGTTCTAGCCCAGCCTAGGCAATTTAATGAGTCCCTGGCTCAAAATAAAAATAAAGGCAAGCATGGTGGTGCATGCCTGTAATCCTAGCACTTGGGAGGCTGAGGCAGGAGGATTTTCCCAAGCAGAAGGCCAGCCTGGGTTACATAGTGAATTTAAGGACAGCCTGAAATAATAGTGAGACTCTGTCTCAAAACACTAAAAAAGTAAAAAGGGCAGGGACTGTAGCTTAGTGTGAAAAGACCTCGGCCCAAGCCCCAGTACCATAACACAATGAAACAAAAACCTTTTCGTCAAGCCCTCTTTCTTCAGAGGAAAAAATTTTCAGACCTTCCCAGTCCGGTGAGTTTCCCTCAAGCCAATACTCGGGCCTTTGGGCGCCTCCCCATTTTAATCTGACCCCAGCCACAACCACTGAGGCGCCCTCCAAGCTCACATCGCGGAAACACAGTGTGGCTCGCTGCCTCCTTGCCATGGACTTTATCCTCTGCTGTGCCAACCTGCCTTGGAGCCAGCTAACTATGGACCCAAACTGCTGCAAACTGAGTCAAAATAAACCTCTCCTCCTCTGACCTCTGAGTGTCCAGTGTTTCGTCTCAGCAATAAGAAAAGTAACTACGACAACAAGAGATTTTTTTAAAAAAAGAGTCAAGACCCCCAGCCCAGGCGTGGTGGCACACGCTTGTAATCCCAGCACTCGGGAGACTGAGGCAGGAGGATCGTTGTGAGTTCAAGACCATCCTGGGCTACAAAGCAAGCTTAAGGTGAGCCTGAACCGCATAGCGAGACCCTGTCTCAGAAAGGCAAAAAAAAGAAAGACCTCCAGTGACTTCGTACACCAATTCCTAACTGCAGCTGTGGGCTGAGTTGAGGGTAGAACACAGAAAAGACACAGCGCTTACTGCAAAAAAAAAAAAAAAAATTCAACTTTTAATTATAACTGATCAAACTTCATCCACAAATGTCTCTGAACAACTGAGGCAAAAAACACGATAAAATTCTCCTACTGAAGAAACCAAGAGTTCTCGTCGGCCCCGGTGCCCCCGGGGCCCAGACCAAGGACTGACGGTTCCCAGGGCCGCGCTGCTCCCCGCGCCCATCTCAGCACCTCAGGGAGCGCTGGAGACAGTGGGGGACCTGCCCCCTCCTGTCACGCCAGGGCTCTGAGGAGTCACCGCTCGGCCCCCCTCTCCAGCCACGCTTCCTGTCCTAAGGTGAATGGAGACCCTCTGGGCACCGTCCGGAAACCCAGGGACTGGGCACGGCACCCTGTGCCCTCCCAGCCTTCAGCCAAGGCGCTGCTGCAGTCTGCTCGGCTGGTTGCTTCTGGTGCCCAGGCAGGCGTTAAATAAAACGTGGAAAAGAACTGAAATGCCCTATGGTCTCCACAACGCAAGTCACATAGCAGAAGAGAAAGTGAAAGGACGGCACTAAGGCCGAGTGGGCCCGGCCGTCAGAAGACGCGCTCGAACTCCGTCTGATTGGTGGTAGCCGGGTTGCGGTTCTGGTTGGCGGGCTGCTGTGTGATCTGGCTGCCCTTCCGGCGCGGCGGCGCCAGGTACTCAAACATGGACGTCAGATGGGCGGACAGCATGTTCTTGAGGTCCGAGGGCATGGGGTCAGACCAGAAGAAGTCATGGTTGAGGGCATCATCGCTGTCGATGCGCTGCGCAGGGTCCAGGACCAGCAGCTTGTCGATGAGGTCCAGCGCGTACGGGTCACGCACATAGGCCTTCAGCCTGTCTTTCACCTTCCGCTTCTGGCCCTTGGCCAGCTCCAGCTTCTCCAACAGCTCGTACTTGTCCACGTTCGGCCACACCTGGGAGGGAGGCATGGACGGGGCGGAGTGAAGTCACCTGCTGGTCAAGCATCAGATGCACCCCGATCCCTGCCGGAGGGAGAGCCAGGCCCCTCCCCGCGAAAAGCAGCAGTGGCCACCACACCAGCACGTGCCAAGTGCCAGGCCTCTCACACAAGCTACTGGGATACCTGTGCCAGCCAACCCTGACAAAAGCATACCCCTGTTTTATTTTCCTGCAGTACCAGGGATCAAATCTAGGGCCTTGCCATGGGGCTACATACCCAGTTCTTTTATTTTATTTGGAGAGAGATCTTGCTAAGTCATTACATTGCCCAGGCTGGGACAGAACCTGCAGTCCTCCTGCATCAGCCTCCTAGAGTGCTCAGAGTACAGGTGTGCACCTAATATATAGCTCTTACAGAAGAGAAACCCAGCACTGATTTGTACTGGGAATCAGCACTGATTCAAACACCCACCCCAGGGCCATGAAGCCAGCTGGGGCAGACCTAAGACCCAAACACAGCCCAGGAGGCCAGGGGCCCAGGCCCTGACCTTGCACAGAACCTTCCCTTGTCAGGCCCCGCCCCATTCTCTGCACCAAGGGGAGGGGATGGAAGAAGAGAGGAGAGCAGAGGAGACCCTCCAGGCCCCACTTCAGCCTAGCCACGTACCTCCGGGGTGATAGAGCCACAGAGCTGGCTGATGAGGGCAAGCTGGTGCTGCTCCGTGTTGCCCTGCATGATGGGGCTGCGGGTCCACATCTCGGCCATGATGCACCCTGCACCCCACAGGTCAATGGGCGGACCGTAGTCCCGCTCCCCTGGAAGAAGAGCACACCGGGAGGGCCCCTTGAGCCTGTGGGCCTCCAGGGCCATGGTGCCCCGGGGCCAGAGGCCTCAGAAACCCTGGCAGTGGGAGGCAGTGGGAAGCTGTGGCCCGAAAGGTGCCAGCCCCTGCCCCCCCGTGCCGGCTCAGGACCCTCACCGAGCAGCAGCTCCGGGGGCCGGTACCACAGCGTCACCACGCGGTTGGTGTAGCGGTTGGGCTGGCTATTCTTGGCCAGGCTGAAGGCCCGGGCCAGCCCAAAGTCGGCCAGCTTCAGGACTCCGTCCCGAGTGATGAGCACGTTGGCAGCCTTCATGTCTCTGTGCAGGATCTGCAGGGGAACAGGAGGAGGGCTCAGCCTTGTCCCTAAGGGTCCCCTGCTGCATCTGCACAGCAGCCGCCCACGCCCCCGCTCCCACCTTGTTCCTGTGGATGTAGTAGAGGCCGTTGAGCAGCATCTGCATCACTCTCTTGATCTCAGACAGAGTGAACTTGACGAGGACGTTGCTCAGCAGCCCAGCAAGGTCATGCTCGCAGAAGTCGAACACCAAGTATATGCTGCCCTTGCAGCGGTTATAGGGAGACGCTGAGGCACAAAGGGTGAGGCAGAGTCAGAACTCTACACCCGGCTATCACCAGCTCCCACCCTCTCCAGCCTAGCTGCCTGTGGCCTCCAGAGCACCCATGGGTGCAGTGTTCACCGGTGGGTGCTGTGGCAGCAGGGGAAGCACTGGCTCCGATGGAGAGAAAGCGGAGGGTGTGTCGGAGTCAAGAGGAGGCAGGTTAAGAGCTCCCAGCTTAGCTTTCGCATAGGCTCAGTTGGCCAAAGCCTCATTTTCTCGTAAGATCCAAGCAACTCACCTTTGGTTCGACAAATCTCAATCAAGTTGACCACATTCTCATGCTTGAGAAGCTGAAGGATCTTGATCTCCCGCAAGGCTGTGATGGGGAACTGGGTAAGAGAAAGAGAGGAAATGGTCAAAAGTGAGAGTGCTACAGACTCTGAACTGACTCTGAATCCACACTCAGGGACCCTGAGCCAGGAGGCAGCGGGGTTATGTGCTCTGACATCAGCTGTTTCAGATGCCTGACCTACAAACTGGGCATGATAGTAGCATGCGCACCTCACAGAGTTGATTTAAGATAATGAACTGAAACAGGGATAAACACTTGACTGACTAAATGTCAGTAAACCATAACATTTTTGGAGGTAGAGTCTTGCTATGCAGTGCAGGCGGACCTGAACTCACTTATATAGTCCAGGCTGGCCTAACTGATAGTCCTGAGGGGATGCACCACCTCGCCTGGCTCGTTATGCCTTCCAGCATGGGCTGGAACTGTATTTAGCAGGGCTCTCTCATGGAAATGGAAAGAAGCGGGGGCTGGGGATTTAGCTCAGTGGCACAGCACCTGCCTGGCAAGCGCCAGGTCATGAGTTCGATTCCCCGTACTGGAAAAAAACCAAAAAAAAAAAAAAAAAAAAAAAAAAAAAGGAAATGGAAAGAATGTAATAGACTTATGAAAAAGCCATGGGTGTGGGGTTGAAGTTTGTAAATAACAACGACATTGAGGAGACTTGGTTTCCTTCCAAATTGCCTGAGGTTTGATAATACAAAAGAAAGAAAAAGAACGGATAATCTGGCTGCTGATAATCTGTTCAGGGCTTGAGATATTTGAGGGTAAATGTCAAGCAATTTATACACCATCTGAAAACATGACTACTGATGAACATCTTACAGTATTTCATGTTTGCCTTCAGGCAGTATATTCCCAAAACCTTCAAAATATGGCATAAAAATTGATGCCCTTGTAGATGCAAAGACTTACGCTTTCAATTTAGAAATTTACCCTGGAACTCAGCCACTAGGTCCTTATTCATATAGTAACAAACCGAGCGACATTGTGAATAGACTTGTTGCTCCCACCTCCCAAACCAATCAGAATGTGACACTCAATTATTTATTGGTTTACCAGTTTCCAATTGATGTTATATTTGCTAACAGACCACAAGCTGACCAGCCCAGAAATACACCCAGGAACAAAGCAGAGATTCCAAATGAAATATTGTGATTTCAAAACAGAGAATTGCATAGTATAATCTCTGGATTTCAGAAAGATGTAACACTGGCCTCCTGCATGGCAAAGGAAAACCACCTGGTACTGTTGATGTCAACACTGTACCACGATGGAAATACATTGATAGGGAAACCTCAACAAAACGGAAGCCTGAAATGGAAACTTTTTATAATAAAACCAAAGGCAGTGATGTTGTTGAGTTATGCAGCAACTGTGACGTCACCTGAAACACAAAGCGTTGGCCAACGGTTGTGATTTACTCAAGCCTAAATGTGTGGTGTGAAGTTTGGTAGTTTATAAAGAAAATAACAAGTGCAAAAAGTATCACAGAGAAATTTTCTTAGAAGACTGGGACTGGAACTCCTAAGAGAACATTTACAGCAGAGAAAAATCAAAATGTTTCTGCAGAAACATCTTTTTTGTTGTTGTTGTTTTTTTCCGATATCGGGAATCGAACTCATGACCTTGCGCTTGCCAGGCAGGTGCTGTGCCGCTGAGCTAAATCCCCAGCCCACAAAATGTTTCTGCCCAGGGAACTATGCAAAAATTGTGGAGCACACCGGTGAGCTGACAGGTGAACAGGCAGGTGCAGCACCACAAAGAAAATGGTGATGTCTATTCCAAGCAATCATTGCATATTTGATATTTTATTTTATTGGTATCTCATTCTCCTGCTAAGTGCACATTATACAATGTAGTAGGAAGGTCCTGGCAAAAACAGGAAGACAAGAGAGAAAAATAGCCTGCCACAAAGGAGAAAGGAAAGCTAAGCACGTGCTGTCAGAGACTTGTACATGGAATACGCTGTTGTCGTGTGTGAAGACTGCCTTGGGTGTGATAATTGAAGCAAACTTTTTTTTTTTTGTCTTTTTGAGACAGGGTCTTGCTATGCAGTTCAGGCTGGCCTTGAGCTCACTCTGTAGTCCAGGCTGGTCTCAAACTCACAAAACTCACTCCTGCTTCAGCCTCCCAAGTGCTGGGATTATAGGCATGCACCACCACACCCAGCTAGATTATTTTTATTGTAGAGTTCTATTGGTATTTTCATTGCAGTACACGTAGGAATTTATTTCTGATGTTATCTTTTAGGTTTCGTAAGCAAGTATACAGCTGACGTGAAAATGTTGATGTTTATTCTAAATGCACATATGAAGAATTTAATACTTTTTAAGCCGGGTGTGGTGGGGCATGCCTGTAACCCCAGCACTCAGGAAGCTGAGGCAGGAGGATCACTGTGAGTTCGAGACCATCCTGGGCTACAAAGTGAGCTCAAGGCCAGCCTGAACTGCAAAGTGAGACTCTGTCTCAAAAAGACAAAAAAAAAAAAAAAAACGTAATGTTTTATTGATATTTTATATTCCTGTTAACTACACGTTGTACAGTATAGTAAGAATCTCCTAGCATAACAGCAAGAGCAACAAGATACCAGGTTATGTCTGCAAAAAAGGGCAGGAAAACCAAACATGTGCTGTGAGTTTAAGCGATATGTATGTATGGAATGTGCTGTCATGTGAAGACTGCCTTAGGTGTGAAAACTGAAGTAAAGATTTTTTTTTTATAGAGTTCTATTGGCATTTGTATTGTAGTTGATATAGGAATTTATTTTCTAGACTTGGTACACCAAAAAACAACGCGTGTTGAAAATTTTGATGCTTGTTTATAAATAATAAATATTAAAAATTCAATACTTTTTTGGCTATTTCTTCCTGTTAAGTATGCAGTAACATAATAAAACTCATAAAATTAAAATAAATAATGTAGCAATAGAAATATTCTAAAGAACAAACATGGGTATTATACACCCACAATAATGCACTTGTTTTTTGGAGACAGGGTCTCGATACACTATTTAGGCTGGCCTTGAGCTCACTCTGTAGTTCAGGCTGGTCTTGCAAAGATCCTCCTGCCTCAGCTTCCAGAGTGCTGCGATTATAGGTGCGTGCCACCGTGCCTGGCAATAATGCACTTTATGACAAAATTGGCATTATGCTCAGTGGGCTACCAAAAAACTGGGGTGGGAGGGGTTAGACAAAACTTTATAACATTGCTAGGCGTGGTGGTACACGCCTATAATCCCAGCACCCCTGTAATCCCAGCATTCAGGAGGTTGATACAGGAGGAACTCTGTGAGTTTGAGGCCAGCCTGGGCTACAAAGTGAGCTCAAGGCCAGCCTGAACTACATAGTGAGACCCTGTCTGAAAAAGACCAAAAAAAAAAAAAATCTTATAATGTAGTACAGGTTGGCCTTGAACTAATAGTGATCCTCCTGCCTCAGCCTCCCAAACCCAATGACTGTTCTTTAGATTTAAAAAATCTGGCGCCAGGCATATAGCTCAGTGGCACAAGCGCCTTTCTGGCAAGCACACAGTCCTGAGTTTGATTCTCGGTACCAAAAATAAATAAATAAATAAATTATATAACGGAAAAAAGATTTAAAAAAATCTGTCAGGAGTGGTGGTACAGCCCAGTGATCCCAGCACTCAGGAGGCCTAGGCAGGAGGAGAGAGCCACCTCCCAGGCCAGCAGGAACAGCACAGTGAGACCCTTTCTAAAAAAACAAAACAAAGCTGGGTGTGGTGGCACATGCCTGTTATCCCAGCACACATGAGGGAAGCTGAGGCAGGAGAATCATTTTGAGTTTGTGGCCTGGCTGGGCTACGAAGTGAGTTCAAGGCCAGCCTGATCTGCATAGCCTGACCCTTTGCAAAAAGGACAAAACAGCAAAACAAACAACAAAAAAAACACCCCACAACACAAAAAGCCAGGGTGGTGCTGAAGGCCCGTAACCCTAGCACTTGGGAGACTGAAGCTAGAGGATCCCAGTGAGGCCAGCCTGAACGAGACATACTGTAAGAAATTTCCTGCAGGGTGTGGTGGCACATGCCAGAATCCTAGCACGAGGAGGATCACCATGAGTTCAAGGTCAGCATGGGCTACCTAGTGAATTCATGGTCAGCACCCTCTACACAATGAATGCAAAGGCAGTCTGGGTTACAATGGAAGACCCTGTCTCAAAAACAAAACAAAAAAAGATTAAGAAATTTCCTCGCAAGAGTAGGTCCGCAGGAAGCCCAGCTGAAGCTAGGATGGGGTCAGGAAAGACTACTCAGTACATTCCCTGAGTTGTAGTCACTTAAAAAAAGAACAAAACTATATGACGGGGCTGGGGATTTAGCTCAGCGGCACAGCGCCTGCCTGCCAAGTGCAAGGTCGTGAGTTCCATTGCCGGTACCAGAAAAAAACAACAAGAAAACAAACAAACAAAACACAAACAAACAAAAAACTATATGCCATGCTGGGCATGGTGGCACACTCCTGTAATCCCAGCACTCGGGAGGCTGAGGCAGGAGGATCACCTCGAAGGCCAGCCTAAATTACATAGCCAGACCCTGTCTCAAAAACCAAAACCAAAAAACACACAAAAAAACTATATATCTGAGTTTTCCTTTTACATTGAAAGAAAAGGCTACGAGAAAGGTATTTAAAGGTTGCCTAATTTTCACAACCAATGTGCACTCCAGTAAGATTCGTCTCCCTCCTGAACCTCTCCGTATTTGCCCCAAACTAAAACATCAGATGCTTTAGAACATTTGAATGAAAAGATACAAGTGGAAGGCCAAATTTCCTACAATATGGAAATTTCCAAGCTACTGGGTATAAACTTTAACTCAACATGAAACTCCCAGAAACAACGGGCAAAAACCCAAGCCGGCGCCTAGGACAGTTGGCTCCCGGGACCCGTACTCACCCCCTCCTTCTCGTTCTCCATCAGCACCTTCTTCAATGCCACCTTCTGGCCGGTCTTGCGGTGCTTGGCCTTAAACACCTCCCTGCAGTCAAAAAACGAGCGCCAGGGGGGCTCAGCGGCGACTCCGCAAGGGCCGCCCTTCCCCCAAGAGCGCCGGGGCGACAGGAAGGAGATCCCGGCGGGGCGGGGCGGGGCCGGCGGCCCGGGCACGCGGCTGCTCCACCACCCAGTCCCTGCGGTCTTTCTCCGAACTTCGGTTTCCCGGTCCCCGGCCCCTTCCCACCCCGGCACGGTCGGAGAAATCTCGCTCCTTTCCAGGGCGCCTCTCTGCAGCCCCTCCCCGCCCTCCCCCCGAGACCTCAAGCTTCTCCCCGCCAGCCTGCGCTCGCAGGCCCAAGCGGGCCACGACGCGACCTAGCGAGCCCAAGGCACAGGCCGGGGATCAGCGTCCTCCGAACCACCTCGCGCCGCGCCCTGGGCGTCCCGACGTGGGGGCCCTGAAAGCTGCAGGCCCAGAGCTTCCGGCCCCGAGGGGCCCGGGCTTACCCAAAGGTGCCTTGGCCGATCTTGGCAAGCTTCTCGTATTTAGTCACCTCATCACAAAAGGGGCACTCCACCGAGTCGTACTGCTTTGCCATGGCCGCCTCCA